TCACCTGTTGCTGGACAATGTCATCTAGAAATTCAGAATTTATCAACAAACATTTCACAACATATTTTAAAGAACAAGATTTCCACATGTTACCAGAGAAACGTAGGAAGATCTCAATTTAGCTGATTTTATACTGCAAACACAACATTCTTCAGAGTTGAAGATGTTATAGAGATAAGATTATTTAACACTAGCGTGGATTAAAGTTAAAGGTGTGCAGGACAACGGGCATGACAGCCGTTTATTCAGCCAGGCACAAAAGGGAGTTAGACTCAGTATTCAAACCTAAAACAGCAGTTTCTCCTTTTCATCCTTTTCAGAAGTTCAGTTATGACTACGGTGCAGCCGATTGGGTAGCTCGTATAAGATAAAAGTGTTTCAATGGGAAACACACCCTTAGTAACGCTAGCCACATTAATGTGAAACTATGTTTCACTGTAGAGCTGTGTAACACCTCTTTCCATCTCTTTCTCTCTCACAAACACACATAAGGGAGAAGATGCCTGATAAATAATCAATGATAAATCATAGAAATACTACCATATAGTTACAATAAATAAACAGTTTAACAATCAAACACATCTCATGGCAAATCAGAGCTTCCTCTGACCCCTTCTCCAGTATTGAGTTAATCACAGCTGCTATTAACATAAAGCTGAACTTGAAAAAAAACAAAACATAAATCAAACAACTTGTGATATGGTTTACTACTCCGTTTTTAAATGTGGACATAAAACCAGTTTGAGAGCTTTGTCCTGTTTTAGTTGTGTTATATAAGGACACCTCTGTCTCAAGCAGGATTTAAGTGAATTTGCAGATTTTCTGTAATGTAGAGGGAGAAATATTTTTTGGAAACGCGTGTTGTTTTACGATAAAGATTTCTTGGCTCAATTTCATGATAGTTCGATCTTCAATTTATCCCCGTATTAGACAAATAATTTCTACATTGTTATTTATAATTGTGAGAGAAGAATCGGAGCCAGTTAAAATCTGAATAGACAGGTCAGAGTGCTATAAAATCGGTGATAGAACAGCGGTGAAAAAGTCTTGTGTTGGTAGTTCTTTAAAGACACAAAGGCAACAAGCTCTGAGACTCATCGTTTGACTGACGGTTAAACACCAAGGAACATAATTAACTAGGCAACTTCAATAAGTTATGTAATAAACATTATACTACTTCACAAAAAGTAAAATGCATTTGAATAATGTGAGTATTTATACTTATAGCTACTTTAGCAGGTATTTATTCCTGGTTAGGTGTGAAGTATGATCACTGTGTAGAGCTGTTCTAAAAACCTTCCATCGTCCAAGAACAGCCTGCTAGCTCCCTCGTCTTTTAGCTTGTATTGACTTCAAAGTTTATCCTGACACTCGAAACGGATTTAGAATTTCTACCTCGATCTTCCAGCTATTCAAATGTGAGACTGAAGGAAAATCATCAAAACACAAACTTGGGTTTCTGTCAGATACTGTCAATGCACACACTCCTTTTACTCGTATACGTTTATCAAAATAACAACTATATATATTTTTTAAATACGTATGCGTAAAGACTATGAGATCACATTTTATCTTCACGTATTTTATTTAAATTGTTTCAGTTTTTATTTAATACGATACTGTAAGCCATGTGGTATTTCCCCTAAACACTAGTCATTTCAGATAAAGATGAATATTAAATCAAAGCCTGGATTAGAATAGAAATTCACATGAATTCAACAATTGCATTATTGGGGGGAAAAAAAGAAAAAAAAAAGAAGGGAATTTGTTTTTTTTTTCCTCATTGGTTCTTTTTGAATCACATCAAACCTATTTGTGAAAACAATGCAGTGAGTATCTTCATGATGAAATAGGGACACAAACATGAACTCTAAAAACAGACACACAAGACGTAAAATTGCAAACGTTGTACGAACAATGACAACAACAAAAAACAAAAACAAAAAAATTGCAGTGACCAAACCAGTTATTTCTATTAGATAAATTATAAGTGTAATTGTCATCTCTGTATCCTTTGTTTCACTTCAAAATCTTGTTTAATTTCTATCTATTTCAGAACTTCTTGGTTTACTTTTCACAGATATCGCAGATGTATTTTTTTCTTGTTGCAAGCGGCCTTGGTATTATCCAGACATCTGAGACGGTAGAGTGTATGGGGCTGCTAGGATAGTCGTCCATCTAAGTATTAAAACATTTAGAATTGATTGCCGCTCTTTTGTGATGCATACTTTTAGTTTTGCTACCTTCAAAAATTAAAATAATAATAATAATAATTAACAACATTAAAAACATATCTACTGGCTTCAACTTATTGTATGTTTTTAAATATAGCCCATTTTTATTCTTTATAAACAAAGCCTTCTGTCTTGTCAAGGTCTTGAATACTTTTCCATAAATATGAAGATTTTTAATGGTGGCATAGAATTAAAAATGTGTGAATAGATAATGAAAATGAAATAAAGAAAACAAAGCTAACAAAGTTCTGAACTCAATCCCAGCTGAATAAATATTCTACCTTTGACTTTCTACCACGCAATGGACTTTTTTGTTAAGAAAACCGACATAAAATAGTTTTTCCAAACATTATTTGATTTCTATTTTTATATTTTGCTTCTTTGTGTCCAGACTTCATCTCTGTACATATAAATTAATCTGCACATACAGGGATTTGCTTTGGTACAAATAGGATCAAAAGTATAATTCAGCCTTCGTCGTCAAAAAACGACTGGCTGTTTACGTCTACATACAACAGAAGATTGAAGCAAACCCAAAATATATACATTTTATTAAAAAAGAGAAGAAAAACAAAATGGCTGGCGGCCCTCGCCTGCTCTGAGGTCCTCCATACACACACCTGGTTCATCCAGTGTGAGGGAGTTTGAATGCCCGCCTGTTCTGCAGCGAGGTTTTGCTTGAAGCCTTTGCACCAGTTAAATTTAAAGCTTTTCAAAGACGAACTCCTCCATTCAGTGGAAATTAAATATTTGCAGCTCAGTTAAAGTTTGGTTTTAAGCAGAAGAAAAGCAAGAATTTATTTCCTTAACTTATTTTTATAAATTTCATAGGAAAACAACTTACTCTCTTTCAAAATCTATGATGTAGATTTTGGTCCAAATGAGACTTGAATAGTTTTTTTTTTTTTTCCTTGTTTTAAACATAACTAAAGCAGAAGTGTTCTTTTCTTTTACTTGCCTCAGTTATTTTGTATAATGTTGAAATCAAATTAATTTCTAATTGTGTGGATTTAAGATAAACCACTGCTCCACTTTAAGTTTAAATATTAGACAAAAAGTGCTTAGAGCAGAAGCTAAAATAACTTATTTTGATTTTGAATTTCATTGTATGCCTGAACACTTTCCCTAAACATAATTTTTTACAGTCACAAAAAGTTCTGTTTAATGTCAAAGTCCAACCTTGAAAGATGATATTTAGTGAAGGTAATTTTCATGGCTTTGCTTCCACATTTTTCTGCCCTTCTTTTCATAGTTTGCCATCGGACAACAATAAAAGCTTTAACACGGAAGCATCTTCGTCCAGTCTACTCCTAACTCACAGTTTGTGGCAATACAATGGCTTCAATTAAACTAACCACTGATTTCAGACCTGTGGAGATAATAAGGACAATGAAAATGAGTCCTTGTCTTCAGACACATTATGAGTTTGTTTACAAAGAGAATCATCTTTCAAAGTTGCCGACTTCAAGCAGGAAAGGGAACGTATCCGCGGTCAGATATTCAAATGGTCATTGTTCAAACAAGAGCAGTGAAGGAAAAGAGGGTATAAAATTTCATAGAGATATAATCTAATGTGATTTTGCAGATATGACCTGAAGTGGGCCTGGCTCTCTCCACTGTGACTTTTGTAAACCGGAGAAGAAGCAGCCTTCGCCCCAAGTTCTTGTAAGTATTTATTTACAAAGTTCCACACTTTTCCAGGTTTATTTTAGATTTCTCCAATAGGCATAATAGAAACCTGAACATTTGGGTGAAAAAACGCCAACCTAGTTTAGGTCTTCTGATTTCCCTACATTTGAAATAATTCAATACCAAAACTAATTTACAATTCAGTGGTTTGGTAAATTGCCTTTTCACGTCTAATTAATATCGATGCAAAAGATGAACTCTTTGGACTAGGCTTAATCTTGTAAAGTAATAGTAAAATAGATCACAGCTTTTGCCCGATTACACCATTATTTAATTCGTAAAATTCCCAAAAATTAGTGCCAATACTTGTTTGGCATCAAAACTAAGAATTATTGTCCAATAAAAAAAAAGTAGAGGAATAAGGTTCCATTTTTAATTTTGAATGAATGCAAATTCATTTCTGGAAAATGGGTTGGATAAAAAATGTCTAAATATAAATATTTTTCTTAACATTTTAAGAAATCTGGAAAGTCAAACATTTACCATCCTCAATTTTCTTATACAGACATGGAAGACAGTTAAAATAAATTCCATATATTCCACACTTTTTTAAGAACCTTATACTTTTGACATCACGTTTCAACTGTGTACTAAACTCTTTCTTTCGTTCTTGCAGTGGTGCTGAAATTGGACGGTTTTTTTTTTTACTCCGACTCTTGAACCTAAACTGAATGGAATAATGAAATGTATCAGGGGACTTTGGGCGGTGTGGGACATCAGCTGAACAAGAGACAAAAACAGATTTTCGTCTCCAGGTGGAAAGATGCGGGGCAGGGGGAAGTGAAAGTACACAAAAAAGGTTACTGGATATAAAATGAAAACACTGGGGATACACATGAAGAGGATGTCCTCGGAGAACTCACAGAAGAAGACACGCTCACGTCACTAACGCCAAACACATGCGGCTGTGACCGTCGCTCGCGCGCGCAATCACCAAATGAGCAATTTCTGGATTAGTTCAAACATACACAGATATGTTTAAAGTTGTTCTGGGCAAACTTCTGCCTTCAGAGTTACGAAACCACTTTAGAGGATGATTTAGCTTTAATTCAGAAGAGTACAGAGTGCCAGTCTTACCCTCATTGCTGCTGGTTCCTGCGGCGCCCACAGCCCTGAGTGATATAGTCCACAGCAGTATCACAGCCAGCCCCGGATCTGAAGCCATGGTTGATCTCCCTCACACTCCGCCAGTCTCCCTCTTGCCTTTCTCCCCCTCTCTCCTCCGCTCCGTCTTCTTTCTGCTGCTCCTCCGTGTCCCAGGGTTGAAGAGAGAGCGCCGAGCAGAGTGTTTAGTGTGTGTCTGAGAGTGAGAGTGTGTGTCTGGCTGCGAGCTCATTGGAGTTGGGAGTTAGAACCTGCCTCCTCGGCTAGCTTCGGTCTGCCGGCTGCCTCGCGCGCGCGCGCACACTTACGTACACGGACTTTCGGCAAGATGCCGGGGGGGGAGGGTGCGAGAGGGGAGGGTTAGCTGTCCATTAGAGTCGCGTTAGCCAATCAGAGCCGCGTGGCACACTAAACACTCGCGTGTTCACCACACCTTCTCCATCCCACCTGCCTGGCCAACTCTGATTCTCTGTTTATCACTCTGGGTCATGAGTTCGGCACACTGCACCCCTCTCTGTTATTTACCCTCATTTGTCACTGGCTCTGCTCTCTCAAACACACACGCAGACACACGCAAACATACACACTCTCACCTAGCCGGTGGCAAATAACTGACTGTGGAATGAACCCAAAAACAGCATTATATCTGCAAGGCCAAATGGCATTGATCGGTTATCAGTGTTCCGCGCTGCATTCATATAGGAACCTGCGCTGTGTTCAGGTGTAGCACAGTGTGACTCAACATGCTATTAAATATGTGTGTGTCTGTTTGATCTCCAGATCTATTCATCTACTGAACCGCAGATCAATGAACCTGTCCTGATCAATTGCTTTCTGCTGTCACACTCCACACAAACACCTTCACAGACCGCTGCAGTGGCAGCAGGATCACACAAATGGGCTTCATTACAGGAGGAAACTGAGATTTTTTTTTTCTCCCATTACTGTAGCACCTTGTAGCACTGTAGCACCCTGTAGCTAATATGCATTTGACTAACGTGGTGCAAATGATGTTTACGGATGTAAAACTGCTCAAAGATGTTTCATAATACGGATCTAGACACGCTGCAGGAGGGACGATGTTGCAATGCCAACACGATCCTCTCCATCAGAACCAGGATCACATGAGGATGAATTCTCCACAGAACTTTAACAGATGATTTATTTCAAAATGTTACTTATTTATAAATGTGCTTTATACTTAATTTGTGTATCATTGATCTCATTCTTATTTATCTCTCGTTATGAATTATCATGCAATCATTTTAGTTCTAGAACAAGCATCACTAGTACATGTCTCAATGGCTGTATTATCAGTCAAAACAAACTATTTATTTATGTTCTACTATGCAAATAAACAACAACACAGTTCCAAGATTTATAACACAACTGTTTGCAAGTGTGAAGAAAATCAAGACTTCAAGTATATCTTTATATCTCATACTGCTGCATATTTTTGATTTTATTTGTTTTTCTTAATATTACTATGACTTGTATTAATAATAAAAATAATAATACTTTTAACGGGCAGAAGTTGGTAGTATTGTTGCCTTGTAGCAAGATGGTCATGGGTTCAAACTTTCAGCATGAAGTTGATCATGTTCTCCCAGTGCATGCATGGGTTCTCTCTGGGTACTCTGGGGTCCTCCCATAGTCCAGACACCTGGCTGTTAGGTTAACTGGTCTCTCTGAATTGCCATTAGGTATAAGGGATGTGTTTGACTTTTTGTTCTATATTTTTCTGAGTTGGCCTTTGATGGATTGACAACGTTTCTAGGTTGTACTCTGCTCATAGTCCAATGATCTCTGGAGAGAGGTACCATCTTCCCCGATGATTGTTTCTCTCTCAACATGTTTCTGTGCTCTAGTATGTGTAGACTCAGTGTTAGTGATGTTTGTCCAGAGGTCTTCCAGCTAGCTGAGTCTTCAACCGAGCAGTATGGACCTTCAGCTTTGGGATGTAGAAGGAACTGTCGCAACTCCTCTATAGTTGTGGTGAAGCAGCTTTTGCTGCGACCATGGCTTGATTTGCGAACATCCTCATCCATAACCCCATACAGGAACATTGAGTGTGAATGTACATGCAGCGTCATGAAGGAGAGAGAGGTTAGTTAAGATGAGTGTCAAGCCCAAACTGAGGCAGAGTCATGTGTGCCAAACTCCTGCTTCCCCCACCCTATCCTCCCCCACGGAGTTGGACACACAGTGGGTTTCTGTGTGACCTTATAATGGCTCCTCCACAGAATCTACAGAGTTATTCCTGTGTGCAAGTCAAAGACTTCGGCAAGGAAGCCACCGACCAGCTGAAGCAGAGGGAGCCGTGTTGTATTCAGTCAAAAGCAGTTATGCTCTGTTGATGTTTTATTCCTTATCTGCAATGTGTTCATGTGTGAGGCTCTGTTTCTTTACCACTAGGCTGCACTGTCAGTCTGCCAGTCTAATAGGCTGTGAGGACAACAACACCGTTATATTCACCCTGATGCTGCAGTCTTCCAGGAACAGACGAGGGGAGAAGAGAGAGAAGGGTGCTCTCTGAACCTTTAACATCATCAACACCCCAAAAACCAACCAAGCAAAAACAGAACGAAAAAAAACAAAAGAAATCCCTGACTTCTGTCACCGTGTCATGACTACGAGGATTTACGAAAGGGGAAAAAAAAGACACTTTGTGAATGGAAATGGGGCAAGAGTCTGAGCGTAAGAAAGATGTTTTCAAACCAGAGCGAAAATGTCACAGTGATCCTTTTGATATGTGGCCCAGAGAACTTTCACCAGGCTTTTTCTGAGACTGAGAGCTTTACTGTAGTGAAGCAGAAAATACTTACAAAAGAACCAACATCCCTTGTGCACACACAAACTTTAAGGTTGGTGTTGGCGTGTGTGTTACAACATACCTTGTTGTATTTCTTTACTATTTTATTTGATAGACCACAACAGAGGAGTACACAATAGAGAAAGGAAATGTACATGGTTAGCATTTTTTCACTCAAACTAAAAAGACTAATACAATTTTTAAAACATAAACTTGAGTCCCTTCACCCCATACTTTGTAGGACCACCTTTCGCATCAGTTGCTAGTTCTTTTGGGTACGTTTGTTCCACCTTATCAGTGTGTGATAGCTTGGAGGTCTGTCAATCAATGCCACCATAGGAGGAAGGAGGCAGAGGCCATTACCCAATCAACACACACACACACACACCACCATTCCAGTGCATCTCCAAGAAGAAATTGATATAAACAATGCATGTTTTGGGCTGCAGTCTAATTCAATCGACAACCACTTATTCATGGTTCATCTATTTCCTGATTTTTCTGTGGAACATATTTTCATGAAGCATATCTAGAGTATACACCAGAAGGTGAAACTGGGAAAGCTAGGCACAGTGCTACTTGAAATGCAATTGGCTGCTTTGCAAAGCAGGAACAGTAGGAATAATGTTGATATTCATTGGATGTACTTGCTGTTAAAGTAAAAAAAAAATGTTATGTGTTTTAAGATTTACATATTAGATGGGAAGTCGACTGATTCCTCTCTGGACTTTTATTAGGAACATCGGGGCAGGTGGTCCAGGTTCAAGCAGTGACCAATTCCAGACTGGGCAATAATCTAACATTCAGATCTTAATTATATACCTTAGAACTAGATAAACATAAAGCATTAGTTCCAAAGTTATTTCCTGTCTTAAATAGATACATCATAGCATAATCCATGACATGACATTAGCGGTGGGTTGATGTTTGATTTATACTGCACTGATCAACTTCATTATCAATGTACATTGTCTGGGCACTGTATAGAAAAATATTCACTGAAGGAGCCATCTTATCTGTGTGACTGCTGGTGTGCTGGGGCAAAGACGGATAAACCGTCCAGTTATCTGCTGAAGTTTGACCCAGTCAGATTTCTCTGACCCACTGAGTTTCACATATTCCTGTCCGCTTTAAATGGGACTTAGAAAAGTGTTCATACTCTTCTACAGGCATTCAGATCATCTTCTGAATTATTGTTCTATCTCAACATTCTACGAGTGGAAATAAGAAAGACAGTTGAGGTTAGCTTTTGCTGTAGTTCCATAGTAAGTTAAATTTGATATTTGAATTTCTAAAATACAAACTTTTAGAGATGGTTCCAAGTACTTGTGAGTGGTTCTGGTCCCCAAACTCCCACAAATACCAGGGATCCACTGTGAAGGGTGAAAAAGCGCCAGCGCTGTGATTCTTTTCGCAAGTTACTGTTTCTCCACAGTCATAGTGATTCATATTATAGTCATATTATGGTTTCCCTGCGTGGGGATCAATTCCTTTTCATCAGCTTGGCATCCCAGTTTATCAGTTCCATGTCTCATTTGTGTAAAGAGGAGGCGGTAAACAAAATAAAAAAGGATAAGTCACAAACATCAGGCTGAAGCTTGTAAATCTCATGGGTAAGCAACCTGACAAGAAGTTTTAACACAAAGTGAAAAGGTGACAACATTGTGGAGGTCATTTGGGTCTTTCACAACAACTGAAGCAGTTTGTCGAGGAAAAGTTAATTTTTTTTGTATGGATGCTTTATTACACACCATCCACACACACACACACACACACACACATGCACGCACACACACACTCACATGTACACCCACGCGCATGAACACAGACACAGACAGAGACAGAGAGAGAGACATCTCAAGCTTATTAAAATGGTTCCCCATGGCTCTCTGCTCCTGCAGCAAGTATTTGATAACCCTTCTTTCAGTACGCAATATATACATCCAACAAAAGCTTCACTGTTTCAGCAACACAGTGTGTGCCCCAGCGCATGTGTACACAAGAGCCCTCGAGCCAGAAACCTTAATAAATCCACCCGGGTTAGCCTGGGAGGTCCGTGGGCCAAACTTGGCTTTAAAACCTTAAGGTTTGTGTCTGCATGTGTGACAGTACATTTGGGCAGGACTGTATGCTGGGGAGTAGACAGATGGTGGGGGTCAGTGTGTGCTGCATGTTGTGGGGCTCGCTGGTGTGTGTTGGCTAAATATAGCTCCAAAGAAACAGAGCTGCTCAGAATCCGGTCACTGACTCTGCTGCCGCCATCGTCTCACTTCCCGGGTCAGTTCAGCTCCATTTGTTTCACCTCTGTGGAACTGAGACGTTTCAAACCGTACAAGTTTATTTTAGATTATGTTCATTTTTATGGCTAAAATTAACTCACTATAAAATGACAGGAAAGCAGATATTCTAACAAATGTTGTAAAGTGTAAGTTAAGGTGGCAGCAACTTTTAGTTTGTCTTGGTTACTTGGATACAGTATTTCGATTACAGATTTTTTTTTTTTTTGTGACTCCTGAATGTTTCAT